ATTCCCATCAGCCTTTCCAGGGTCATTCTCCATCCCAGCCCTGGCACTGCACCAAAACCCACCCCGTGCCAGCACAGATCTGATCTCTGGGGAGATATTTGTGCACTCTGTGTGCTCACATTTTCAGGTGTGGTTTTGTTTAACCTGATGCTGATATGAACTGTGCTCTTATCTGATATTTCCCTTCCCAGCTGTCAGACTGTAAATAATGGATCTCCTGTCCCCTCCTCGCTGTCCCTGTGCACTGATCCTCACTGCCAATTGTGTAGTAATACATTATCTTAATTTTCCCCTGCCACAGGAGCTGTCTGCTGCTCTGAGCTGAACCAAGGCACTGTTTTGTACAGATCTGAGCACATTTGTAATCAAGCTGAAGCATTGGAAGTCGTCTCTTGATAGGAAATTAGACCAGCTGCTCAGAACAGATTAGTTCAGACATCAAATCTCCTTTCACATGTTTGAAGTTCACAATTTCTCTTGCCTAAAAGTAAATGAGAGTGGCAGAGGAGCAGGTGGAGGAAGAGTTGGATCTTTGAGGGGTTGGTGTTTTTCCCAGTGAAGTTTAAGGAAATTTTTGGGKTTTTTTCTGTGTTAGTTGAGCTGACCCTGTGGTTGTGTCTCTGCCCAGGTGAGAGGAGAGCTCCCTGCTTCATKCCTGCTCTTATCCTCACCCTGAGACAGTGTTTATGTTCTTTTATCATAAAATTAATTGAAGATATCTCAGGAACAATGAGCTCAAAGCTGAGCTCAGACATCTGATGGCAGCTGCCCTCCATGCAGAGCAGGCCCTTCCTTTACACCAGCCTGATTTCCAGCAAATTAAATTTGTTGCTCATTTGTGCTAACACTCTTGGAATTGTATTTGATTTTTCATGTCTTGGTGTGGGCTGTGTAAAATAATAGAATTATTATTTATTGGTCATTTTCTATAAATAARTGATGGTACTTGACCTCGAAAAATGACTCAGGACAGCTTCATATATTGGCTCACAGCTGAACAGGTACTGGCAATTTCAGAATCATTAARACTTTTTCAAGGAACTTCTAATTGATTTTTTTTTTCTTTATCTTTTTTAGGAGTTTGTTGTGCTGTCCAAGAGTTTAATGAATGACCCCATTATGGAAAAGGAAATTATAACAAAGGCCAAAGAGTACGTGAAGAAGYATCATTCCTGGGAAGGTGAAAGGAAAACCTACCAGAACCTTGTGCTAAGACTGCAGTGAACTGACAGCCAACTGTGTGGAGCACTTTAATGATGAAATAATGAGCTTTGGGCTCCTCTTGGCTTCTTTAGAGAAAAATATTGAGCATTGTTACTCTGTTCAACATTCCCAGATCACAGAGTCACCTGCTGCTGCCACCTGCCCCAGGGTGTGAGCTCAGGTGAGTTTGGGATCAGCAGGAGAGAGCAGCAGAGGGTGGGGGTTTGTTCTGTAGGGCTGCACAGGGCCCAGAGCTGGCATTGCCTGTCCTGACCCTGCTGAATCCCATCCCATTTATCCCATTTATCCCATCTCATCCCATCATCCCATTTATCCCATCTCATCCCATCATCTCATCCATCCCATCCCGTCCCATCCTATGGATCCCATCCCGTGGATCCCATCCCATCCATCCCATCCCATCATCCCATTTATCCCATTCCAACATCCCATTTATCCCATCATGCCATTTATCCCATCCCATGGATCCCATCCCATCCCATCCCATCCCCAGCTTTCCTCCCTCTCACACCCCCTGCACCATCCCACACATCCCCAGGAAGCCCAGGTCCCATAAACAGAATATTGAATTATTCACCTGCAGTGCTGCTGGCACAGTGACCCCACAGAGCAGGGGAACACCAGGGTGACCCCATAGAGCAAGGGAACACCAGGGTGACCCCATAGAGCAGGGGAACACCAGGGTGACCCCACAGGGCAGGGGAACACGAGGGTGACCCCATCCAGTGCTGCTCTCAGACAGTTTCTCTGTCACATAAACTACCTCTTTGTTGGCCAGCTCCTTTGGGACCTCTGTGATTTACTTATTTAATAAAAGATTAAATTCAAAAGCTCTAAAAAGGGATGGGAGGGAGGTATTTTCATTTACTGTGTGTTTTGGTACTGTTTGTTCTTGTGGTTTTTTGGGATGTATTGCAATGTAAAGCTGTGCTGAAGTGAGACCTGTCTGCCTCAAGTCCACACTAATTATCCCTGTGATTATGGACATTCTTTGAGTCTCTAATTGGTCATCACAGGACTTGCAGCTAGGGGAGAAAAAATGAGGGTCAAATTTCTAACTAAATTTGCTTTTAGGAAATGCTTTGTGTAGTGTTGCTCCTGCCTCAAGGAGAGGGAAATGTTTTCTGTTGATTCAGTGGCTGTTGTGTCAGACTTTTCTTTTAAGAATGAAGTTCACTGTGTGTGTTTTAAGCTTTCCTCTTTATTTGTGATGTTTTGCAAGAGTCTGGAACAGTAAACACAAAAGCAGGTTGAATGTTGTGTATTGATTTCTCCCAAATTTCCCTCCTCGTTGTGTGTTGGGGCTGCTCAGCTCTGCCTTCAATAACACAATCCCCAAGGGAACAACAGCCTGATTTCAAATCCATCCCTTTGAGCATGKTTTTAAATATTTCTGCTGTATCTTTTGCCCTGCTGGGATGGAAGTGCAGCTGTGCTGCTTCTTAGTTTAAAAGGCACCAACCAGCCCTGAACAGAATCCAAATCTGCAGCTGACTGGGGTTTCCCTGCTGCCCCAGGAGCAGCAATATTTCAATATTTATTTCAATATTTCAATATTTATTTCAATATTTCAATATTTCAATATTTATTTCAATATTTATTTTAATATTTCAGTATTTCCTTGGACCTGTCCTCCCTGGGGGACGAGGCCTCCCATGGCAGGGCTGTGTCTGTTTGCACACCTGACAGGAGGAGCAGATTTTCAGGGTGACAAATGTGGCTGGGCACCTTTATAAACAATTTAAAAGTATTTTTCTTACTAAATGAGCCAACTTGAGGCAGTCCTGTTCCTCTCAAAGTCTCTCCTCTGCCCGTATTTCTGATACCCTGCTCCACTGATCCTCAGCCACCCCACACTCCCCTTCCAACAGTATTGCTTGTCTTSTGAGAAAAGCAGGATTCTAGAAGCAAATAAACAAATTTATAATGTGTGCTAGAAGCCTGAGCACAGAGTGATCAGCAATATTAATGATTAGAAAGCTTTCCTGATACATTTATTTCCAAGCTTGCAGCMACTATAAATACATTGATCTGGAGTTGGTGCAATTCCCAGCAAAACAAAACATGTTCGAGTGAGAAATGCTGCTCCACCCTCCCAATGGAATTAACATATGATTTTTCAGGCTGTGTTTAATCTATAAATACAGAATCTGCATATCTGGGAGGCAGCATGCTCATTTGCATGTGATAACCACACCCCTTCTGTAAGAGATGCATGAAGAGAAAAAAGGAAAAGAGTCTGAGTGGGGTGAGCTCAGCCTGGGGATGGGGCAGTCTCACCCATCCGTCAGCTTTGGGATCATTTTGGGATCATTTTGGGATYATTTTGGGATCATTTTGGGATCCTGGCAGCCACAGGATCTCAGCCATGAAGGCTCAAAGGTTGGGGCAACAACTGCAGGGAGTTTCATCCTCATAAACTGAGACTGGATTTATGGTTTAAATTTCATCCAGTCTTGTGCTCCAGGCCTATAAATATTCAATGAGTCTTGTAAGTCCTTGCAAGGAAAATATGAGACCCATGCAAGCAGTTTTGGGTRTAATTATCTTTCCAGCAACTTCACTCAAATGATTTTATAGGTAAGAATAATCCTTTTGTTGTCCTGCAGCCCTAATTATAGTATTTATCTTCCCCTTCAAAGCCCTGTTCTTACCCAAGCAGCTTTTAAAGCAAAGCACACCTCGATGAGATGCAGATACAGCTCCAAAAATAGCACTGGTTCTGTTTGCAGGGAAAAGAAAACAACATTGTGCATCTACCCCACGGCTACTTCTGTGTTTCAGGACCTTGAAATGTACTGTTAATTAATCCAATTACGTGCATTTTATTTTGCAATGGACTCTGCCATTGAATCCATGGGACCTGGAGCATGGGCACCTCAATGTTTCCCTTCCTTGGCACCATCACCCCGAGTTGGGGGTGATTTGGGGGCAATTTTGGGGTGTGGGACAGAGCCCCAAATCTGGGGCTGTGGGGTAGGGAGATTTCTGAACTGGGGTTTATTTTAATTAGTCCTAAAGCACACAGAGCCCCATTTCAGAGTGATCTGCCTCCTCCTCCAGACCCAGTGCCTCCCTAAGGACTGACACTGGGTTGGTTTTGCCATTTTTTGGGATGCTGACCTTTGGGATTTCCATCCTACAGACCCCCCAAATCTCCAGACGGTTGCCATAATTTTCATGGTTTGTTATAACCATAGCAGCACTTAAAGACCATTATAAAATGAAAATGTTAAAATGTATATTGGAAGATTTAAAAGTATTTCTGCCTCCTCTGCAAATCATTTACCGTGGATTCAGCCYGAGGATGAAGCAACCCCAACATCTGCAAATGCTTTCTTTAGGTTTAATGAATGCACAGGCACTTCAGTCTTTTTTCCCAACGTATTTTCTCCCTTCTCTTGGGCTCATAACTCGTTCTGTCCCTTTCTCCCCTCAGTCTTTTTAATCTTTAGGTCAGGAATCATTSCCCATGAAAGTAAAGAAACAGTTTTGTCAAAGGCTTGTCAGAGGAGATGGGTGCTTCCATGTGGAATTCAGTCATTTAATGGCTCAGTGGGATCGCAGCATTTTTTTTCATTAAGTTGTCCAAAGTAATTTCATCACTCCAGAATTTATTTCACTTCCACCCTCCTCTGKCTGGTTGGTCCCAGCCCAGTTCCTTTAATATTTGAAACTTAAAGCTCTTGTAAGAGCAGCCCTTCACACAGCCCAATGTCCTCAGTGCCTTTAATTCTGCCTGACACAAAGGAAACCTTCAGCTTCCAGGCCTTTAATTGCATTTAGAATTTCAGAGAAAATAAACTACTTATCAAAATAAAAAGTTTTACAGTCATCAATATAAGAGCAAACTGCAGTACAAAACCAAGATTCCTGTTTTTTTAAGAAACAATCTATGTTTTCTACATGAGTGGACGATCATCTGCAATTTAATTCTCTCGAAATGAGGCATTTTTTCATTATTCCATGTCATTCCTATGACATCTATTTTAGGTATCAAATATTGAGGGCACTTGAAATCTCACATCCTTTCCAAAAAAAATGTAGGCCAGCATTTGTTTTGTCCAGTGCCCCGAAAAAAAAGGACTCCAGAAATTCATTTCCCCTAGAGCATTGCCATGAAGCTAATTCCAAACATTTGTTTGAAATTAAAAAAATACATTTTAATTAGACCAGCAGAGAACATGTGGTCACTGAGAAATCTCAAATGAAAGAGCATTTACCCCCCTGCAGCACCTTTAACCTTTCCAGAATAAGCAGTGTCACYYTTTTAGGATATTTTAGGATATTTTAATGTCATTCTCACATGCAATTCCCATTCCTGAGCACTCCAAATCTGCCTAAGACAGAGCTCCAGCCCCGAGTCCAACCTTGCCAGACAGAGGTCACTCATTTCATTTGTCTGATTCAATCAAGTTTCATCATTCATTGAGACCAAATGCCCCTCTCCTGCTTCAAAAATGAATCCCTGCTGTTGAAAAGTCACTGATATTTTAGTGCCCTTAATGAAGTGAACTGAGTTAGCAAAGCTTTCATTTAACTTGAGCAACACATCAAAAAAACACAGCCCAGAGCGTGGCCTTTGCCATCCCTTACAGCTCCCAGCTTCTTCCCAAGGTTTGTTTTTTTTTTTTTCTTTTAAAAATAGATTTAAGAAGACACCTGAAATGCCATTAAAAAAGTACATAAATTCCTGCTTGTACAGCGTTCACACCTTGGACCTGTGGTCTCACAGCAGGGCTGGCCACAATTCCCAGCAGAAAATMAGTTTGAAGGGAGGGTGTGTGGGCCGTGCATTATTGCACAAACTGCACCACAAAGCAGGCAAAAATCTGCTTTTTTTTTCTGTTTAACAGCAAAGCAAGAGGCGATGGCCAAACTSAATAACCATTTTCTGGAAGAGGAGAACATCAGTATTACACCTTCTGAATATTCATCATCTTTTCCCAGCACCTTGCTCTGGTTTCCTCTCAGCAGGACCCAGAAATGGCTCCGTTCTGAGCAGGYTGAGCCTCTCTGAGCTCTCACAGCTCTGTCTGTGCTGTTTTCTCTCTCCCTGATCACATTTCTCACTGAGGAAAGCCCTGAGGTGTCCCTGGAGCTGCACTTTCTGCTCACCCTCTGCATCCTCAGCCTGTCACTGCTGGCCAGACAGCCAACACAAAATAACAGACACAAAGACACACATATACACACAAAAAATAACCCCTTTATTCTGGGACAAGCCTCTCTTATCCACTTTAGCAACCAGTGCATACATTTGTGTCACACATACATTGGTCAGTG